TTAACAAAACCCAAATCTTCAGATGGGGCAGGAGAAGTTCCCTTAGCCCCTGTGGTTTTGGCAAAAACCAAAACTGCTTTGCTCCTTCAAAAGCTGCGGTGAGGATAGCTTAAGACCTGGCAAACAGGCAAACAGTGAAGAAATTTCTTCCTGGTCAGCCTCCTGGGCTGCTGCTCTGCTTTCGGAATCTGGCTGAGCTAGTGGTAAGAGTCTGTGTTTTTCCTTTTAATTTTTTTTCAGAAGATTTGGTTATCAAACTTTCAGAGGGAAAGTTTGAATTTCCCTAGTTACTAGATTAAAGCTGCTCTGTCATAGACTATTTGCAAGCATGGAATGTATTTACTAAAAAATCCCTCTTAAAACTGGGCCTGGTGGGGTGGATGCCTGAAATCCCAGCTACTCAGGAGGCTGAGGCAGGAGGCTTACAAGTTCAAGGTCAGCCTGGCCAGTTTTGCTAGATCCTGTCTCAATAAACAAACAAATAAAAAAGGGCTGCAAATGTAACACAGTGTAAGTGCCTGGGTTTAATCTCCAGTACCAGAAAAAAAAAAGAACACCCACTATATGTCAGGGATTATTTTAAACAAAAAGGTTGGGAAAATGAACTAGAGACTAGAGAACTACTTTCAGTTTGTACTTTAGGAGAAAAAACCCAGAAAAATTTGTGCAAACAAATGGACAATAATTTTGGTTACGAAAGTAACAAAATAGGGTGATAAAATAGTAATCAGAATAGGCGAGAACCTTATTTGAATAATCAAGAACAGCCTGTCCCCCTTTCTCTCTTATTTTTAATAAGAATAAAACCATCTGGGGCCGGGGATTTAGCTCAGTGGTTTTGTAGCCTGCTGCACAAGCGCAAGGACCCAAGTTCGATCCCCGGTACCAAAAAAAAAAAAAAGAATAAAACCATCTGAAGCAAAAAGCAGTCTTTCACTCCACCAAAATGTGCTGTATTTCTCCTCAACAACATGCAGCTCTCCAGAGGACACAAGTGAATGTCCTATAATTTATTTCAGTTCTGACATTATCTGCTTGGAGATAGCATCAGATCTCACAGGTTGAAGGGTCAGTCCCACAAGACCTCCCCCCTCTTCAGATGCCAATCTCAAGTAATAGGTTGTCATGTATAACCAACTGGTGTAGATCTGGGGTTCCAGTGACCCTCTCCTTGGGTTAGATTAATTTGCTAGAGCAGCTCACAGAACTCAGGGAAATACATTCACTAGCTTATTTTAAGGGATATTTACCAAGAATGCATGTAAAGACCCAAATGGAAAAAATGTGTAGGGCAGGCATGGGGACGGGCTACTGAGCCCCATGCTGTCTATGCCAACTCCAAGAACCTCCATAGTTCAGCAATCTGCGAGCTCCCCAAGATCTATCCTTTGGGGTTTTTATTGAGGCTTTATTTATTTTTGGTACTGGGGATTGAACTCCGGACCTTGTGCTTTCAAGGCAGGAGGAGGAACCACTGAGCTAAATCCCTGGCCCTATTGACACTTTATTTCATAGCCATGTGCTATACATAGTCTTAAATCCCCTAAAGTCCCATATATCAAAGGCTAGATCCCCAGGGTGGCTTTATTGAGAGATGATAAAATCTTGGGAGGTAAGGCCTTGTAAGAGGACCTTAGGTCACTGGGAATAAGTTTCAAAAGGAGATTATGGGACTCTTGCCCTTTATTTTTCTACTTTTTAATATAATTTTTTGCTTCCTTGGGCGTGACCTAAGTGGGTTTTCTTCTACCACATGTTCCTACCATGACGAGTTGCCTCAAAACAGGCCCCAAATAACAGGGCAAAACAGTCATGGGCCAGAACCTCTAAAACTGTGGAACAAAACAAATTTGTTCTCTTTACAAGCTGATAGTGGGTTAGGGCTGGCATTCAACCCACTAATCATGCTTAGGTCTTTCTTGTAACCAATGCCCATTGGGAAGCTATCTAGGGGCCCGAGCTACCCGCCATCTTGCAAAAGATACTCTAATCACTGCAAAGGTTCTATGGGTTTTAAGGCACTGTGTGCCAGGAACCAGGGGCAGGGACCAAATATATATTTCTCATTATATCACAATATCACAGATCACTTCACGTAATTGTTTAGAGATAATGTGAAGAAAGAATCTTTCTGGTGCATTATAGATATTAATAGTTGTGCTTAATATGTTCCTTTCCCTATCAAGGTATGCATATGGAGAAAAACTGAGAGACATTTTGATGTAAAAAAGTTGACAGGAATTAGTTGCACAAAAGAAGGAATAAGGAAACATTAGAATACTTCAAATTTGAGTCCGAGTCAATGATAATAATTACACATGACGATAATGACAAAATTAGAGATATAGAGAGGTACAAGTTGCAAGTAGTAAGAAAATGGCACTTAAGCTGGTGGCAATATCCAAAGGCAGTTAAGAAAAATTGGATAAAAATAAAAATTTGTAAGTCACATTCAAATAAAATTAGTTGACACTCAAATGAGGCACCAAGGGCAACATGAATAATAAATAGCTCTGCCTTCTAAAAGCTTAGAGTTCAGTCAGAAAAATTAGACATATAAATACAAACGCTATCTCGTATAAGCTGAGAAACTCCCTGAAGGATGCAAATAAAATTTTAGGACAGTCCATATAGGGATTTACTTCTAATTTTCCTTAGGGGATGAGGAGAAGGGATAATATTGAGTTCATAAAAGGGAAGACATCAGAATTAGGTCTTGAAAGTTGGTAAGACATGAACAAACAGCACTAAGAGAGGAAGGGCATTTCTGGTGAGAGGCACAGGAAGGCATCCTGTGTGTCACTGTGAAATAAGGTAGTAAGATTTGGCTGAGACAAATTATGGAAGATCTCATTATCACATAGTATGTAAAAAATGGAAGGAACAAGAACAAGGGAAACAAAACATTGAAGTCTGAGTTTTAAGGAAATGTCCTTAGGGATAGCAAAAAATAGGTCAGTTTGAAAGTGAAAGAAGTATATGCTCAAGAAACATTTGTTGACTGAATAAAAAAATAGCCGTTACTATATATTGTTCCAGAAGTTAAAAAAAAAAAAAAAACCTAAGTGATTTTAAAAGGAGAACATGAATGCAAGAATGACACTTTTTTGAACATCGGAGTTTTAAGGAAATGTCCTTAGGGATAGCAAAAAA